TTAAGTTATATAAATATGAGGTGTTTGCATAAGCTTTGTTGTGATTTACGTTTGTTGTTCATATTTCAGCAATTTTGTCAAAGTGTTTTGAATTCGGTACAGATTTTTCTTAAGAATTGCTACAACTCAGTTTTATTTATATCAGTAACCGAGTTGTAAGGTTTTTGTAAAAATAATTTCCGAATTCCACTTTGATCTTTTGTAATAATCTCAGCCACAAGTGCAAGTCGATATGCGAGTTTTCAAATAACTTCGCGAAACTTAACACATTTTTAGGGCTGTACGGGAAATAAAATAGAAGTCACCGAACTTCGTCAGAGTTCGATTATGGAATGGCCCCAACCGATTTATATGTTTTGTGTTCGGTAATATTCGGGACCCGTCAAATCATGTGTGTTGAAATGACGTTTGACGTGCGTCGCCCCTATCCGAAACATATGTGGAGTTCGAATATATTATGGGGTGTCAGCGAGACCGAGTGTCGCAATGCTTACATCGGTACAAAAAGATTTGTAGAACTGAACTTCAAAATGTTTACATCGGTATCGAGCTGCTGCTCGGATTTTCAAAAGAGAAAGCTGACAGGCCTTCAATACATCAAAAGGGTGACTTCGCACATTCACCGAGGCGAAAAGAAGGTCCGTGCAAAAGGAAGGTCGGTTATCCGACTTCGGATCCTTCACTGATAGAACTTTTTCAAGAACACAGCATTCCAGGGATATTGATGCGGTGTCCCATCAGGATGAGCAATTCGGTAGGCCCCATGAGGTAGGACTTTAATGATTTGAAAGGGTCCTTCCCATCTCGGTCTGAGTGGTCCGGGGTCAGGCCCCCATTATACGTTTGAGGACCAAATCTCCAACTCGGAATGAACGAGGTTTGAGTTTAGAATTGATATATCTCTCATTTCTTTGCTTGTAAGCAGCATTCCTGAGTTCGGCCCGGGTACGATGTTCTTCAAGCAGGTCCAGATTAGCCTTTATGTTTTCCGAGTTGGTCTCTTCGGTGAAATGTTGAACTCGGTACGTCGGTTCTCCGAGCTCGACTGGGACGGCTTCCGAACCGTAAGTTAAGGAAAATGGGGTCTCGCCAGTAGAAGTTCGAGTGGTAGTTTGGTAAGCCCACAGGACATGTGGTAGTTCTTCCGGCCAAGCTCCTTTGGCAGCATCAAGTCGGACTTTAAGGCCGTTTTTTATGAGTTTATTTACAGCTTCCACTTGGCCGTTGGACTACGGGTGGTAAGGCGATGAGAAGAAGTGCTTGATGTTGTATTCTTCGCGCAGAGATTCAAGTCGTCTGCCTTCAAATTGTTTACCGTTATCGGTAATGAGAGAGTTTGGTACTCCGAAGCGGCAGATGATTGATTTCCATATGAAGTCGACGACTTTCTGTTCGGTTATTGTGGCTAACGGTTCGGCCTCGGCCCATTTAGTAAAATAATCGACCGCCACAATAGCAAATCGGACGCCTCCTTTTCCAGTTGGTAGAGGACCTATGAGATCAATTCCTCATTTGGCGAAAGGCCATGGACTGTAGATTGCTTTGAGCTCTTCGGGAGATTGATGGACATTTGGCGCGAACACTTGGCATTTCGGGCATTTGCGAACCCATGTGGTAGCGTCGGTTTTCAAGGTCGGCCAGTAATAACCTTGTCGCAAGATTTTATAAGATAATGCTTGTGCACCGGGGTGACTTCCGAAAATTCCTTCGTGGATTTCTTCAAGGATATATCGTGAATCAACTTCACTCACGCATTTTAAAAGTGGGACAGAGTATCCTCTTTTAAACAACGTTCCGTTATTCAATGTGTACCGAGCTGCTCGGATTCGAAGTGCACGAGCTTCTTTTGGGTCTGGGGCAAGGCCCCAGTTTCTAAATAGTGGATAATAGGATCCATCCAAGTCGGTGGTTTTTGAGACGTTACCGGATTGATGGTTGCGACCTCGGAAAGGGCGGTTGACGGTTGTTCTTGCTGGCCTATTTGGACATACTCCGCGCTCTCCATCCCGGTACTGGACGCCAGCCGAGATAAGGCATCGGCTTGAACATTAAGAGTTCGGGGGATGTGTTCGAGGTCGGCGGAGAATTTTGATAACTTCCGTTTGGCCAAAGAAAGATAAGGTGTCAACCGAGGTTCTTTGACTTCATATGAGCCATTGATTTGATTGACAAGGAGTTGAGAGTCCGAGAAGATTTTAAGGTGTCTCACTTCTATGGATTCAGCCAAATTCAATCCGGATAGCAAGGCTTCATATTCGGCTTCATTGTTGGTTGCCGGGAAGAGAAACTTCACTGAGTGACAAAATAACCGGTTGTCTGGGTCAGCTAAAACTATCCCTGCGCCTGCTCGGTTGGCTGTTGAGGATCCATCAATATAGAGGACCCATGGTTGATTATCATGATGAACTGTTATGGCCGGAGTGAACTCGGCGATGAAGTCAGATAAGGCTTGAGCCTTGATCGCGGTCCTCGGTTGATAATGGATGTCGAATTGTCCGAGTTCAATGGCCCATTTGACCATGCGTCCCGAGGTGTCAGGTCGGTGCAGGATTTGCCGAAGTGGATATGAAGTGCGAACAGTTATAGAATGTTCTTGGAAATAAGGTCGTAATTTCTGGGCTGCCATTACAAGTGCAAACGCTAACTTTTCCATCGGAGGGTAACGCAGTTCGGCATCGTGCAATGCTTTGCTGACATAATAAATAGGCGATTGCATCAGTCCCTCTTCACGTATCAAAACAACACTAATGGCAGAACTACTGACGCCGAGATATAAGAACAACATTTCCTCGGGTTTTGGCTTTTGTAAAGTCGGCGGAGAGGCAAGCGTCTCCTTGATGCTAACAAGAGCTTTTTGGCATTCCTCGGTCCATTCAAAACGTTTTCCTTTTTTGATTGGTTCGAAAAAGGGTCTGCAACGATCTGTAGACTTGGAAATGAACCGGTTGAGTGCAGCAAGTCGGCCGGTTAGGGCCTGAACACCCTTAACCGAGGTCGGGGGAGTTAGATCTTGAATAGCCTTTATTTTGGCCGGATTGGCTTCAATTCCGCGTTGGCTGACCATATAGCCCAGAAATTTTCCAGATTCAACTCCAAAAGTGCATTTCTTAGGATTTAAGACCATGGAGTAAGATCGGAGGATGGCGAACATGTCTTGAAGATGCATTATATGATCAGAGGCGTGCACCGACTTGACGAGCATGTCGTCAACGTAAACTTCCATAGTGTGACCGATCAGTGTAGCGAACATTTTGTTGACGAGGCGTTGATATGTAGCTCCGACGTTTTTTAATCCAAACGGCATCATAGTATAACAGTACAAGCCTCGGGCCGAGTAGAATGAAGTGTGTTCAGAATCTTCAGGATCCATAGGAATCTGATTATAGCCCGAGTAAGCATCCATGAAACTCATCAACTCATGTCCCAACGTTGCATCGACCATATAATCTATGTGAGGAAGCGGATAACTGTCCTTTGGGCACGCCTTGTTTAGGTCGGAAAAATCGATACACAGTCTCCATAGCCCATTGCTATTTTTAACAAGAACGGGATTTGAGACCCACATCGGGTATTTGGCTTCCTTGATGAACTTGTTGTCAATGAGTTTTTTGACTTCGTCTTCCAACGCCTTCTGACGATCTGGCCCCAGTTTCCTTCTCTTTCGCACAACAGGTCGGATTGTTCGATCGAGGTTTAGTTTTTGACTAGCAACACCGGGGTCGATACCTTTCATATCTTCGTGCTTCCAAGCGAAAACATCAGAATTATGTTTGAGAAACGAGATAAGTTCTGACCGGAGAGGTTCTTGAAGATGACTTCCAATACGCAATGATTTGTGGAAGACTGGTTCATCAATATAGATCAATTCTACGTCCTCTCCAGGTTCGGCTCGATCACTTCGGCTTTTTTCTTTAAACAAGGCTCTAGGGTCCAACTCGTCCTCTTCAAGAAGTGGTTCCTTTCCAGGCCGACGACCTCGGTCTTCGGTTAAAGGATCCGAGGTGGGGAGAGCAACGTCGTTATGATTTGGTTCCTTGGACACTACATTGTCCGCAGTGTGCTGTGGTGGGGAATCTTCATTATTGCCCTTCGAAGTTGAGTGGATTCCATTGGATGGGATAAACGTAACAAGTTCTCGAGCTTCTCTTTGATCTCCGAAGTGGGTTCCCTCTCCTCGGGTAGTTGGGAACTTTAACGCATAGTGGAAGATCGAAACTGCAGCTCGAAGTTTATACAAGGCTGTTCTGCCGATGATGGCATTGTACTCATTTTTGATATCCAGAATCTTGAAAGTTTCCATGACGAGTTTGGTGACATTCTCCGAAGTGTCGAACCTGATAGGTAAGGTGATCTCACCGATAGGCTTTGAAATACTGCCGTTGAACCCTTGTATTTGATCATTGCAAGGTCGGATTTCGGCGGGATCAAGGCCCATTTTGTCAAAAGCTTTACATCAAAATGCTCGAATAGGCCCCTGTATCCACCATGACGCGATGAACTGGAATTCCGCATATTGGGACGGTGATAACAAGCGCGTCGGAATGAGGGTGCGCGAAGTGATCAGCGTCCTCCATATTAAAGGTTATGGGACAGTTCCGATTGTTGAGAATATTCTCTCAAATCGGTAGTGTAGACCTGTTTGCCGGAGTTGTAAGCTTGTCGGGCATAAGCCTTGATCTGTCGACGGGATAATGTACTCCGGGAGTTATTGGTGTTGACACAGTGGACTGTGATTTGCATCGGTTCAGGAGACCGGCCTCGTTTATGCCCTCGGGAGGTTTCAACAGGGTTAGAATCGGATGTTTCCGAGGTGAACATAAATACTTCCTTGTCTCCTTGTCGGATGCGCCTTGGCATGGCACCTCGGTCCTCCTCATCGTCTTCATCAAAGGGTTCGATCTGGCGTCCCGGACCTCGCCTCTGGGGATCAGTATTACGGTAAAATTTTCTAAGCTGCGGATGGCCAATCAAACGCAACAATGCGGCTAACAAACTCAAACATTCGTCCGTGTTGTGCCCTAGCGATTTAGGATAATCACAATACCGGGACTTGTCCAGTTTTTCTTCGGGCATTCGAAGTGGTTTGGGATCTGGTAAAATGTCCTTCCCTTTCATCTCTTCATATATGGTGGCTGCTCCAGCGGAATATACGGTTTGATAACCAGACTTCACCTCGGTAGCATACTGTTTTCGGGCTACTCGAACTTCAGGATCATTGGGGTATCCTTGGGGAAGTCCCCTGAATTGAGTCTTACTTTGCTTGTCGAAAAATTTATTCTTTCATTTTTCGTCGGTTCCCACTTTAGAAGACTTCGGGTTAAAGTTAAAATCGGGAACCGACATGGCTTCTTCCGCTATGATGTGCTGCTGGGCTCGAGCGAGAAATTCTTGAAAAGTGTTCGGTTTATTTTGGCATAGTGTCCAGCGGAAAATCGAATTCGGTTTCAATCCAGCAATAGCCATGACAAGCAAGGTTTCCGAATGACAAGGTTCCATGTTCTGAAATCGGTCATTGAACCGGGCAATATAATCCTTGACACTTTCATCATCTTTTTGAGTGACATTCGCAAGAGATTCTTTTGGGATAAGGCATACTTGAGCCCCGATGAAATGAGATCGGAAAGCCGACCTTAGTTGTTGCCACTTCCAAATTGAATGAGGAGGAAGAGAATGGTACCATCCCGAGGCCCCAGTGTAAGCGAAAACATACGACACCGAAGTGCGTTTGAGGCCCCATGCAGATCCATCCAAGAAGTATAATGACCGAGGTGCGAGTCAGGGTCAGATGTTCCATCATACAGCCCGATCTGGGGGACTTTGACTTTTCCAGGTACTGGTTCCGAAGTGAGCTCCGGAGTAAGGGGAGAATCGGCTTCCAAATACACTTGAGCCGAGGTGGAGGCCCGCCGAGGTGGATCTTCAGGTGCCCGTTGCCGACTTTCCAATTCGGCTATTCTTCGTCGCAATGTTTCGAGTTCGGATGACTCTTGACGAGCCCGATTTCGTTCAATATGCTGTCGAAGGTCGGTCTGCGCCGGGTTGGAGGGATTTCGGCGCTGTGCATGAGGCGGTGATCATCGTGAATGACCCGACTGGCTTTCGGCAGTTTCTTCTTGAGGAAGTATAGGCGGATTGCGCCCGGCGTCGGTGCGACGCGTAGTTTGTTCCGGAGGCGGTTGCGACATTCGATCACGAGGTTGAGATGTAGCATGAGATGTTGTCCTTCCGCCGTCTTGTCGCGCCGGTGGATTCTGCCGGTTCGCGGGAGTCGTGGGAATGATGGAGTGTCCCGGAGCAGTCGTTGATGTTCCCGGAATTGTTTGGGCCATTAGAGCGGCAAAACCACGCCCAAACTCTGGATTTTGAAACAGAACAGCATAATCCGGTACAGGCGGGGCCACGGCTTATCGTCTGGCAGATTGCGCGGCGCTGCGACTGTGACCGTCTCGTGAGGTGTGACCACGATGATCTCAGTGAGACATGGTGGATATGGCTGGTGTGAATCGTTACTTGGAAAAGCGGAGATTGACCTCAAATCACTTATGAGGCCCTCCTTCTAGCGCCAAACTGTTGTTATGCGATTTGTAACAACGATATAACAAGTGATTAAGTAGATAATTATGAACAGTGTGGACGTAAAGCATGTAAAAATAACTCAACAATGGCCCCGGTCCGAGGTGAACCGAGGTGAAGAGCCGTTATGGGCTTTTTCGTGTTGCATATTAATGAGTTCGGGGATCCCCGTACAAATGTCATAGGCTCGCTATTTATAGTAGCTTTTTCGATATACACCTTGGGATTCGTGTATTATTTTTCATATAAAGTAACTTTTTGGTGGGCGGTTTGTAGCAGAGGGTCCCACGTGAATAATGATAAATCTCGGGGGTTGTGATGGGTGTGTAGACGCCTTGTCACCTGCTTTAGGAGGTGAGACCTCGGTTCGTTCTTAGGAGGTAGGACCTCGGTTTTAGTAGACCTCGGTAGGTATCGGCCACTTCGGTCTTTAGTAGTCTGGACCGGTTCATTGCGTGGGCCAGCGCGGCTTTGGATCACGTCGGTATAGTTAATGTCACTTAGCAATGATGCTTAAACCTCCTTAATGATGCTTTGCCGAGTCGGATGATAACACTCTTATTGCGTACCCAACAAGTGAAAGGAAAAATACAAGGAACGAACATAAGCATGCAATAGAATCGAGTCAAAGGCACGAAAGGAACAAAACACATAAGCAAGAGAAATAAGAA